AATTTGTCATTTATACTTTTTCACAGCCTCATCTTTTTTAATATATATGTTTGAAACTGGCCAAGAATAAATGGTTTCTAATCCAAATCTAGAATCTAATTCAAGATTCTTAAATTTAAACAAATAAAGAGCAAGTTTTCCGGAAAGTATTGGAAAATTAACCCATTATGTCAGGGAGTCTATTTATAGGATGGTATCCTATTTATGATAAGATGAAAAGAGGGAGAGATAATATTGGTAGTAATTATCAAGCTATTGGAGATAATATTTGAAATTAATACTGATGTTGATTAGTAATGTTCATACTAATGGTATAATACTAGCCTTATACCAATGCTACTTTGGTATGGTAATTAAGGCACCAGGCTAGAAACCAGGAGATGAGTTCTAGTCCTGCCTTAGGCACAAAGCCAGCTGGTAACCTTAGGCCATTGTCTACAAGCCCTCCGGAAGAAGACTGTGGCAAACCACTTGTGAAAGAGCTTGCCAAGAAAACCGTATGCAAGCTATCACATTTAAGCACAACGGCCCATCTCTGTTTTAGGTAGCCATTAAGAACAAAATTGAGAGCTTTCGGTCTCACACACTGCCCAAGCAGGCAAAATGAAATCATACTTTATGTTTCATAGTGGGTGGCAACCTATGACATGAATATAAGAGCCGAGGTGGCGCAGCAGTTAGAGTGCAGTACTGCAGGCCACTTTAGCTGTGTTCAGCAGGTCAGAGGTTCAAATCTCACCAGCTCAAGGTTGACTCAGCCTTCCATCCTTCCGGGGCAGGTAAAATGAGGACCCAGATTGTTGGGGGCAATGTAAATATATATATATATTTGCTTACTGGTGTACACCGCTTAGAGAGTGCTTGCACTTAAAGTGGTATATAAGTCTCATAAATAAATAAATAAATAAATAAATATCCTTCATATCCTCACCTTCAGCAAATTGAGATGCCCTTGCTGAAAATCAATGGCAAAAAAACTAAATTATAGAGATATGATTTTATATTTTGGAGAGATGGCATTAAGACCTAAGTCAGTGATGGCGAACCTTTAGAGACCGAGGGCCCAAACTTCAACCCAAACCCCACTTATGCATCGTTGGGTGCCGGGTGGGTGTGGCCATTGGGTCGGTGTGGCCATTGGGTGGGTATGGCCCATTAGGTGGGCGTGGCTATGGTGGTAACTAAAAAGTTCAATCAATCAATTCCAACTTTGCAAGATCTTTTTTTTTCCTGCGAGAAGTTGAAATTGACTGATTGATTGAACCTCTTTTTTTTTTTTGCACATGGCGGTGGAGGCCTAAAGCAACAAGGTTTTATAAAACCCAGCTGAAGGCCTAGGACTGGGGCGACGGCACGCATGCCCATAGAGAGGGCTCTGAGTGCCGCCTCTGGCACCCGTGCCATAGGTTCGCCACCACTGACCTAAGTGATGGCCTTTGACTCCTCAGAAATTGCCTAAACGTGGCTTACGGTTTACTATATGTGAACCCACCCAACTGCAGCATATTCAGCAATACCATGGCTGAAATAAGCCATGACTTAGCATGACGTGCAGACCAGATCATTTTATCCTATAAATGTTTTTGATTAGCATAATTTTGATCATTTGCTTGACATTTTAATAAATATAGCAATGCATTGGTTTCTTGCAAGGAAACCTTCTTTGAAGCCTCTAATATTTTAATTTAGCTTTGATGCTTCAGTATGGCATGTATGCCAACTTCTCTATAGCTCAGCTCCTGTGCTCTTATGACTGTGTGGGTATCAAAATAATACATGTCCTTCTTTACTGTAACTTTTGCAAGGAGCTTTGAAACATTATGACCCCCATTTTACTGCAAGTGGTGGGCATAACTATATATGCATTCTTTTCAGTCTAAAATTTTGACATCACTGACATTGTTGCTAAATGTGTCACTGCACCTGTTAAAACTAGGCAAGAGATAACTTCAGATTCAACCTGATAACTCAAACTCCTGGAATCATTTTATTTTTCTTTCCCTCCTCTTACTTTCTCCTGTCCTTTTATATAATTCTAAATTATATTAAGCATTGTCAATTATACTCAAAGTATCCTAGTTAGAATTTTATTATTGTACTTATGTATTTTATTACATTTTTATTTATCTAATGTTCTAATATATCAGTATTTTAATACTTTACTAGACTACCATTCATTAATACATCATTGTACTTAACAATTAAACACTTATTGCAAATCCTTTTGTCTTACTTACTTGAAAGAGTCTGATACATAACTCTTATCAGCTTTTCCTCCTCTGTATCCTCTGTTAGGTAAATTGCAGAATTACAGGTATCCCTTTCCCCCCTTGGAATATTATTGCTAAAGTGTACCTACTTCTGGTCATTGGGCATAATAAAGGATTTTGATCTAACTTTAATGTGAGTGAGTTACATTTTTGTTTAAAGATGATTTTATATAAAAAAGTAATTGATATTTTATTCTGGAATTTGACGTACACAGAATAAGGCAAAGTGCAAGATATCTGCTTCTATTCAAAGAGATCTAGGAAAAATGGCAGCATATTGTTTCGCCCAAAATTTAGAATTCAGAATTATACTGTTTCCATTCATAGAAGTTTTATCAACCTTACATGACTTGTGGATGTTAACCCAGAAGGCAATAAAAAACCCCTCATTTTTAGTTGTCTGTGTAAGTTGTGTGTGAACTTACAGTGTCTATGTGTAAGTTGCAGAGTAGCAGCAGATTTCTTAAGAATTTTATTTCACCTGGTATGAAAAAAGGCTTGATTGTAATATTTCACTGCAAGTTCATAGGAGAAAGAGGAAAAAAACATGCAATGCTCAAGCTTTCAGAAAGAAAGGACAACTTGGTATTTTCTCACACAAAACACTGATAGGCATCTCATTGATTTCACTAAGACTTAATAGCACTTAAAAGCTTCACTGTGTTCTTTAGAATCACAATATATTGTGCAATGAAAGTGGGAGCACAACTCAAAGCACATTCTTATTTTGTTAGTTATATAAATTCTTATTGATAAAACAGCGACATCTAGTGTCTTATATCTGTATTTTTTCTATATTCTTTGCAAATAAAATATAATAGTGTTATGGAAATAGTTCAAGAATATCATTATGTTTTTTCTAATAATTTTATTGAATAAACATGGTAAAAACTAAACCAGAAGAAAAAAAGAAAAACTTCAGAAGATACAGAAAAAAGTAGAAAAGAAAAAGGCAACAATAAATAAAGAAGAGGTTTCTAACATTTGTCACCTCAAACATAAATTAATATTCTAAATTTTCACTCTTTTACAGTTTTTTTTTTAAAAAATACTCTTTTTCCCATAGTCTTTTACCTATACACAATCCAGAAATCATCTTTTTTATTTTAGTTCTGCAAAATGTCAATTAGGAGTTACCAGAAATATCAAACAAATAGTTTATTCATGGTCAAATAGTCCAACATTATATTCCTTCTTCAACAATCTTGACCATTAAATCATTTTTTCAGTTTACTTTGTAAATCTCAAAGACAAATTGTTCAGAATTTCTTGTAGCCATTCCATCCAGAACCATTTCTTGACTGGTCTTTCATATTTACATTTTGGTAATCTCAGTTTTGAGTTTAATTATTAATATTTCAGTTAATATTTCAAAAATCTTTAAGATTAAAAAAAAGTAATAGGTGGCTTAGCCATTTTAATTCTTTTCTGTCTAGTCCTTTAATTTCCTTTGGTGTTTATTTGCAACTTTCATCAATCCACAGTTCCTAATATAGATTTACTTCTGTTTCACTAATTTCCTATGAGAATACTATTTGTTTATATATTTGATTTTCAAATCTTACAGCAAAAATAACCAATATTCCATATTTCTCTGATCTCCCAATCACTTTAATCAACATCCCTTTACTTTCTTTTTTGCTTTTCAACAATTGCATATTGTTTTAAATTCTTAATCTGTTTAAAATTTCTTAAATCCAAAGAAGGTAAAAACTCAACAAGTGTTAAACTAAGTTCACTGTTTTGAAAGTCTTTAATATCCATAAAATAGTTAAACTGAACATTTTTGAATGTGACTAGAAAGTGGTTAAGTGAATGCCTTTGAATTCACTTGTCTTTATTGTTTTAATTTACTTTAACAGTTTAATATGAACAGTAGATAATATTATATTTTAAAAGGAAAATTGCACTTAGGCAGGAATTAGAAAGCAAATGTTCATCCTTCTTTTGTTTGCAACTTCTAGGACCAGTTGGCTCCTGCATGAGTACAAGCCACTGATAATTTGGGGGGGAAAGGTGATCTCAGCCTCCACTTACTCCTAATTCACCAAGAAGGCAGTTCCTTCCTGCTTTTTCTTTCCACTTTGATCACATCAGAATTGTGATTTTGGACTTGAGTTAGCACAAATGATTAGTACTTCATTTTATTGTAGCAAATGTGTCCACTCCGTTTGGGTATTGTAAGCTGTGGCACAAATGCCCCATTCCCTCCAGTCTCCTGTCACTTTTTCCTATTTTACTAAAATTCTTCCCGTATCTGATACCTAACTGGTAGGTCAGCCAAGGTAGTTATAAAAACAAATAACTTTCATCAACATCACTGACGTTGCGCCCCTACGTTATTAGTGGGGAGCAAGGATCGCTGAACTTAGCAGGATGTCTGTCTGATACACTTTTAACTACCAACTTCCCTAAGGAGGTATGGATCGCATCAGTAATCTCCCTGTAGTTCTATGAAGAAAGATGCGACATAAAATATAAAAATAATTAAAAAGTAAACCCGTTGGCTTCCTTAGATAAAAGTGTCTGTCGCTCGCCTGTTTCGTTCTCTCCCGCGTTGCAATTCAAAGAGGATGTGAAGCTGTCAAGTGATGTCACGCATGCGCAGCAACAATGCCACAGAGTCCTATTCTCCTACGGAGGGCGGCCACCGATAGAAGTGAATCACGTGAGTACCAGTGGCCAATCATAATTTTCGGCAGTGGCGGAAGCGGATTTTTCCATTTCCGTTTTGCGCCGGCAAGATGGCGGTATTCAGAGGTTGGCGGTGCCTGCCTGGAGCTCGATTGGGGCAGTTCATGCACAGCGAGGCTTCCGCTTCGCCTTCTGAGGACGCTGCCGCCTCTCCCGCTTCTCTGTATCCGCCCGTGGTGGCTTCACTTACCGCTAAGAGTAAAATAGCGAAACTCCGGCGCCGGGAGGAGTACTACCGAAGTATTCACAACGCGCCTAGTGTCGAGGAGAAATTGGCGATCTACGGGAAACGGCAGCGCCGCAAGTATGTGGTCTACCCGCAGACTTGGGCTTTAAATGCAGACCGCTGGTACCAGCATTTCACGAAGACGGTCTTTGTGCCAGGACTTCCCGCTTCGGTATCAGTAAGTAAAGAAGACAAGAAAGACAGTTTGGATTTGGCTGAGCTCCGGTCCCTTGTATGTGAAGTGCTCCTTCAGGAGCATTATTACCAGCGCAAGAAGCGCCCCAAACTCTTCCGCGCCAGCGACCAGGGGCCAGCGCCTTTCATTACCCATCTGGTGCCAAAGCTTGCAGCCCACCTGGCTTATCTCAACCCAGAGCTTGGTTCCTCTTCCATCATAGGTGTGTGTCTTTTCATCCTTGTTCAAAGCACAATGAAAATGTCATATAAAGAATCACATGCATCTTTCATTCTGAGTGAATAGGCTGAAACATTTATTCTTAATGATGTTTATTAATTAGGCCATGTCAGGATATAAAATATAAAATACAGAACAGTAATAAGGTCATGTTAGAAAATAGACTGAAAGTAAGAAGTAAAAGAAAATGCAAATCATATTTGTGTCGCTTCTACAATTTATGCTAATTAAATTGACGTTTGCAGTTCCGAATTGTACTGTTTTGTTCAAATAAAGGTCTGAATTGTATGTATGCATATGAAATGTTTTAATATAAGGATCCCAATAGGCCATTTGTCTAATGTGTGGTCTGAAATATTGATCCCTTTATTACACAATTGACATTCAAATAATATATGCACTATGTCCTCTATTATTTATGTGAACATCCTGATTAGACACAGTCTTATTATTTCAGATTTTAAGCCAGATGTACATTTCTACTGGTTGCGTGGGGAGACAGTGGTTCCTCGAGGTCACCGGCGAGGCAGGATTGACCCACTCAGATTTCAGATTGATGATAAGCCACGCTGTCAGATTCGTATAAGAAAGCAACTTTCAGAGGTACAAATATTTTTGTTTAAGCAACAGTTGAATTGGTGATATTGGTGATTGCAGAAGATGTGTCAGGTTTGTGTTACCTCTTATTTATAATATTGTATTCACATGACTTCTAATCAAAACTGACATGTTAAATACTTTAGGCTCTTTCAATGGTGCTAGAATAAAGGGAAAATATTTTTAACACCAGTGTAGTTAGGGGCAACTTCAGACTGATTCATTTGTGGGATGTAGAAGAAATGTAAATCATAGTCCAATCAAAAAAAGGTTTGGCAAGGGATATTTTGAATACAGGTAGATGTAAATTGGAATATATCCTATATCTCTTTTCTTTGAACCATTTATTTTTATTGTTTGATTTAAATTTCCATTATGCTTCATTTCCACATCCTCAAATGTCAGATAAATCATACTACAGTATGTGAACATATTAATATTCAACATTTCATTTAAAAAATTGCAATCACACTTATAATAGTCAGCATAGTGGGACTTACGGAGGCATGTAGTGAGTAGTTTTCCTTGTCGGGGAGGATTTTGGACCCCAAAATGCCTACTTTAAAAAATTTTCAGAAATATAACTGTACTCATATTCATTGTTATTTATTTCAGGTTCAATATATAATGCATAATACAGCCACATTAAATAAAGTTATGTTGCTCTTTATGGTATCTTCAGATTTTATCTTTATTGTCTCTTTGCTATTTTGAATTTTAGTTTATACTGGGGTCTCAAATTCTAGGTCATTTTTTGTAGCACCTCCTCCTCCTTCCCCTTCATACAAAGTGGTTAAAAGGAGGACAACATCGTGCCTGTTTTGGCCATGCACCATACGTGATCCCTTAGGTTGGGCAGAAGGTGTTGCTTTGTGCTTTGGGGCAGGAAACAGGCTAAGGGCAGCTGCACTTCTAGTCCCACAGAGACACTGCCAAAGCTTGAATAAGGGCTTGTCAGCTGACCACTGGTAGAAAAAAGCAGGGATGGATATAGCCATTCCTGATTCCTTACTGTCTTTTACATTCCAGCCTAAGGTATAATGGAAAAAGGGTGAGTGCGTCTAGCATTGTTCGAGTCTTTCACATTTTGTAGCTTTTAAAGTACATAAGAATGACAATTTCAGAAGGGTGGACAGAGGTGGGAAGCAGCAGTGATGTTAGTGTCTCTCAGTGAACTTCAGCTGTCTTGATCAAGAGAGGGTGGAATGCCATTGTAATCCAAATGGCAGAAACAAGGTTGAATCCATTTGTGGCTCAAGGTATTTCCTAATTCATTGTGAGTAAAGTTAAGGTGATATATCACAGAAAGGAGAACCAGAGCCATGAGAGAACATTATACATGTTTTTTATGAGTTCACTTTTTTCTGTTGGTCTGGTGCACACATTTGGTCTGGTGCACACATCATGAATTTTTTTTCTTTCTCAGTTTTTCTCCAGTTGCTGCCCTGCTGATATGCTGGGAACTTCTGGAATTTCAATCAGGATGATAACATTGGGAATTATGGGTTTTTAATTCCAGTACATCTTAACAGTGCCACATGGCTACAAGTATCACGATTCTGTGAGATTAGTAAAGGGAATTCCTTTTCTGCTTAAACTTTCTACCTTTCTGCAGTCCAACAGGTATTAGTGGCTTAATGTAGAAATGGTAAATAAGAGATGATAGAATTCATTATTTATGATATGATAAAGAAATTATACATCATTTTTATTTCCTGAGCTGGTTTTCTTTCTTTAAGTTTGAGCCTCTTGATTACCTGGGCCCTGGAGATATTCCTGTTATCCAGCATTTACCTAACAAACTTCCATTGTTCAAACGACAGTATCAGAACAGAATATTTATAGGTAAGACTATTGTGTCATTGTGTCTTTCTTTTTTTGTAATCCAGATTTTTATTACTTTATAAAAATATAAAATACAAAGAAAAATGAAAATAATGGCAAAGTAGCAGAGGAAAAAGGGAAGAGTAAAAGGGAAAAAGAAAAAAAAATGCATTGGTTTAGAACCCTTTTTAGCACAGTAGAATAAGGCATTGACTTTGCTTGTCAGAAGGTCACCAAAGGTGTTACATGACTCTGGGACATTGCAACCATCATAAATATGAGTCAGTTGGCAAGCATCTGAATTTTGATCACATGACCATGGGAGTGTTGTAATGGTTATAGGTGTAAAAAATGGTCATGTTACTTTTTTCAGTGCTGTTGTAACTTTGGTCAATAAATGAACTGTGGTAAATCAAAGACTACCTCTGCAGCCTCAACTTTTTATTTTTGCATGATACTATATACTAGCCATTTCTATAACAACAAATCTATTTAATCAGCAAAAGCAAAATCAGAGTTTCTGTTTTTTCCCGCCACAAACACAAAGATTTCCAAGTAGAAACAAAGTTGGTTGTAATTCTTTTCTTTAGTTAAAACGTGGTTTTAACTAAATATGGTTTTTGGAAGATAAATTTAAGTACATGAATATGAAATTGAACTATATACCAAAATGTGCTGCTATCAACTGTGCCTATGCTTTTGTGACCTTGCATAGAAAATTATCTAAAATCTCCTTTGGTTTTAGGTTCTCAAGTATCAGATCCATGCTGCTATGGGCACACCCAATTTCATTTGCTTCCTGATAGGGTAAAACGAGAAAGACTGATAGGATTGAATCTCACTGATCAAATTGATGTTCCATATCGAGCCAATGCAGTTGCAAGTCTCTTTGCATGGACTGGAGCACAAGCAATGTACCAAGGTAATTAAATTAAAAAGTATAAAAAATTATCAAATGTCAGAACAGTTTAGGTGATATACCCTGGTTTGAGCAGGAGATTTTTCTCCCTCCGGTCCCCAAAATCTCATGTTCTAGCTTTATTGTAAGTTAGCTGATAATCTTCTGACTATACTGGAAATGTTCAAGCTTGTTACATTCTTCTTATACCAGAATGTTCCAAGCAGAATTGAGACACTCCCACTAAGATGAGAACAATCTGTTTCAAACATCAAAACCGTTGTTTTTAATGGAATTTTAATGGAATCATTTTGTCCATCTTTGTAATTAAACATAAGCATATCTGCACTCTTTTATTGATTTATGCTATCTATTGAATTCTTAGTTATCCCAGAAAATGTTAAATTCATTTACAAATTGAACATTTTGTAAAAAAATTAAGCCACTATACATTTTAATTTGTGCATTTTGACATCTGTAAAAGAATTCCAGACATAGTCCTATGTGTTGGAGAAATGGATTATGCTGATCTGTGACGCATAATGGCTGTTTGTGAAATCAGGAATATATCTCAATACGTACTGCCAACTCGGAAACTGGTTTCCAATTTTGAGGCTGCTTCTTCGTAAAGCAACAATAATACTTTGTATTGTGTGATCATCTTGCACTGCAGAATGACTTATTTTGATAACCACAGTTTCAGAAAGCCATAACATAGGATCTGCCTGCAGCTTATTAAATACATTTTTTACTGGCACCTGCAGATGGCAGCAGCTGTGTGATCCAAGGGGAAGGTGCGGCTGCTTTGAAAAATTATATACGTATTCTACAGTCAGGTCCCTGTTCGCTTAAAACACTTTTTTAGCTTTCCAGTCCAATATGCCAAAGACTCTTGTTTGCAGTGCTTTTAACAATTCACTTTTTGTTGGTAGAGAAATATTTATGTTAAGTGACTTTTCTTCCTTCTCAGGTTTCTGGAGTGAGGACGATGTGACTCGACCCTTTGTATCCCAGGCTGTGATTTTTGAAGGAAGATACTTTGCCTTTTTTTGTTACCAGCTAAACACCTTGGCTTTAACTGTTGAGGCTGACCAAAATAATCCAAGAAGGAACATTTGTTGGGGGACTGAAAGTAAGCCCCTGTATGAATCGATAGAAAATAATGATGTGAAAGGTTTTAATGATGAAGTCCTAGCACATTTTGTTAAATTTCTGTTAAACAGATCAAAGGAATTATGATAATCTGATTATTCTGAAAATACTGAAATAAAATTGAGTGTTTAAATGTGTTAAAAGTGGAATTATTGAGTTATAGTCTTATATAAAATTATTGGTATAAACAAGAGTTGTACAGGAGTATTGCTGATGCTGTATAAATGAAATTTTAAGAGCAATATCTTCTTTGTGTGGTAAGTTGTTTTAGATGATTTTCTTTTGTACAGGAAGACCCAAATTCACAATTGTTAACCATCTAATAAAGTTTAATATTCCAGTAATGTATTATTATTATGGCTCATTGCACAGTCAGCCAGATATTAATACTGGATTTGGCATAGGCATTATGTACAGTCTAAGGCCAGTGGAAACTTAATTATAGAATTATTAAGGTAGTGTCTAAGAATATAGGCAGTTCTAAACAGGTTGCTTTTTTGGTAAAATTTAGGTACTCAGGCCTTATAAATTCTACATTTCCAAATATCAAAGAAGTCCTTTAGTTACTCCGAGGGCTCCAATCATGATTGATATAGCAATGGATTTCTTTTTTCATAAGCATTCAATTTTGATCTTAGCAACATCAATGAATCATACCTTTTTCAATATCTTTTATGTCAGATATGTTACAAACAATATGCATAACATCCCATAGGATCTGAACCTGCTTATTTTCCAAAACCTTCTCAATTTGATGGTCCCAGTGGTTTTTATTATATTTAAATCCAAACCTCTGGCAAAGTTTCCAATGAATAATTCTGGCAACTCAGTCATGATGTGCTTGGATTCAGTTTCTGACATTTCACTGCAGCCACTGATCAAATGGTCAGTTGTTTCATCCTTTTCACTATAAAAGAGACATTTAGTGTTTGTTGCATGTTAAATTTTTGTCTTCATGCAATTAGATGGCAAATCTTGCTGAGCCACTAAAATAAAGCCTTCAAGTTTTTTTCTTGTGTTTGTGGATATTTTATTAGCTTTTCCTTCTATATCCTGACTATGCATTGGCTTGTTCTTTCAATTAACAAATTGGTTTTCATTTATTTTTTTTCTATATTCAACCTTCACCCTTGTTCCTCTCAAGAGCTTTCTTTGATTGACTTCCTTCAGCAAGGGTTGTTAGCTTTTCTTAATGTAGACCTGTTTTTCTTCCTCCACAAGTTGTTTCATCTAAAGGACTCCTCTATACCCGTTGGCTTGGCCAATATCACTTTTTGGATACAAAGCATGGCACGTTGTCATTAGTTTTCTTATCATCCTATCCAAGTTCTCAAGTTCCATCTGAGTCCAATCAACCATTCCTGCTATCTATTGAATAAGAGGGACTGTTTAGTATTAATTTAATGATGCTTCCACCATTTAGCTTTGATTTCAAAAATTTTCCAAACTCACTTGATATACTCCCTCTCTTTGGAACATCCCCTGAAGAGATTTGATTGCCCTCCCTTTTGACGCTCTTTTTGCTCTAAACTGAAAATTCTGCTGGAACTGAATTCTTTGATTATCCCGCAGTCAGTGTTGGCGGGCGGACAGAGATCGACCCCTAGGCGCCTCGATCATGGGGTGTCTCAGGGCTCGGTCCTGTCCCCCCTCCTTTTTAACATCTACATGAAACCGCTGGGTGAGATCATTCGGCGACACGGGGTGAGGTATCATCAGTACGCGGATGATACCCAATTATATATCTCCACCCCGTGTCCTTTCAGTGAAGCAGTCGACGTGATGTGCCGGTGCCTGGAAGATGTGAGGGTCTGGATGGGGGTGAACAGGCTTAGACTCAACCCTGACAAGATCGAGTGGCTCTGGGTCTTGCCTCCCAAAGGCCAACTGGATGGTCCATCATTAGTCCTGGGGGGGGGGGGAAATTTACCTCCCTCAGTGCAGGCACGCAACTTGGGTATCCTGGACTCACAGCTAAATTTGGAACAACATCTATCGGCTGTGGCCAGGGGGACCTTTGCACAGGTTCGCCTAGTGCACCAGTTGCGGCCTTATTTGGACCGGGAGGCTTTACTCACAGTCACTCATGCCCTTGTCACCTCAAGATTGGATTACTGTAATGCGCTCTACATGGGGCTACCCTTGAAAGGCGTTCGGAGGCTGCAGTTGGTTCAGAACGCAGCCGCGAGAGCGATTGTGGGCGCGCCAAGGTACGCCCACGTGTCACCTATCCTCCGCGAGCTGCACTGGCTTCCGGTGGGTCTCCGGACGCAATTCAAGGTGTTGGTTATCACCTTTAAAGCCCTTCATGGCATAGGGCCAGGTTACTTACAGGACCGCATTCTGCCGCATAGTTCCCAGAGACCGGTGAGGTCCCATAGATTGGGCCTCCTTCAGGTCCCGTCGGCCAGACAATGTCGGCTGGTGGGCCCTCGGGGAAGGGCCTTTTCTGTGGTGGCTCCAACCTGGTGGAATCAACTTCCCCCCGAGGTTCGAACTACTCCCACCCTGCCGGCCTTTAAGAAAGCCGTTAAAACTCTCCTGTTCCGGCAGGCCTGGGGCTGATGTCCCCGGGGGGGGGGCGGGATATGATCGGACTTGCGGTATGACTGTATTATTTTATTATTTTATTGTTTTATGATTGTTTTAACTCTGTACGCCGCCCTGAGTCCTTGGGATTGGGCGGCATATAAATAAAATTAAATACAAAATAAATACAAATAATGCTTAATAATTATATCTATTGCTTAATCTTTTCTGCAATAGCCATGGCTATTTCAATTATTTTACAGCCTCTGCAATTCCTTTATTTTCCTATGTGTCCTTCACACATAGGTTTGTTTTTATTTTCTTAGTTTTCAAGTTTCCTTGCCTTAAATTCTTCAGCTTACTCAAATCGATGCAAATTTTCTTTATCTTATTTACTTATTAGATTTTTATCTCACCTTTATTACCTTATCAATAATTCATATGGCAAATATATCTAATACTCCTTCCTTATTCTATTTTCTCCCAATAACAACTTTGTGAGGTGGGCTGCCCAAGAGAGAGAGGGGGGGGGGGAAATCACTCAGCCAGTTTTCCTGTCTAAAATGGGACTAGAACTCTCAATCTCCTGGTTTATAGGCCAGCATTTTAATCACTGCGCCAAACCACATTCTCCACATTTAAGTTTTCTGAAGGTTTTTATTCCTTTGTATTTTAAGCCCCAATTATTTCATGGTTGCACAGGTTCAATTTGGCCACTATTTCAGTTGGAATAACTTTAACAGCTTCATCAATATTCTTTATCTAGAATTCTCTTCTAGTTAAAGTTTTCTTGTTAATTTGCTTCAATTTTGGCAAAAATTCTATTTTAGTTTCTTTCATTTAGTCCTTTATTTTCCCGGCTAGTTCTTGATTAACCAATAGTCCTTGCAGTTGTTTAGCAACCTCAGTTTCTTCTCATTGTTCTTCATTAACATCATTAATCTCTTCACTTTCTATTGTTTATGCTCAGTCTGCAGATTGGTATTATTGGTAGATCTAAATATACCTGAATTTTTAATTGTTTGTTTTTCAATTACTTCCACTTCAGCATTGATAAAGAACGTGTGCTGTAAAATTATGTGCCGTAAGTCTCTGTTCATTAATTTCTAAATCCAGATGTTTTTCTTTCCAAAGCTGGTCTATTTGCTTTTGAAATCCATGTTTTGATGGTTCAACTGGTAGACACATTGTATAATTGAGTCATTTTCTTTCCTTGACCAAATTCTTTTCTTTCAATTGCCTTCCAGTAGCTTATCAGCTCCATGTCCTGGTTGGCTAGCAGAGGGAGTTAACTGTAAGCCATAGCATCCAAAATGAATCTTGTCAATCTGGGTGACAGATCTGGCATGAAATTTGCATTATGTATTTTCATCGTATTGAATGCATTTAATCTGACTTTTCAGATGTGACCTGTCTGATATAGTAGCACCAGTTCAGCATAGCTTTTAGCATTATTAGAGCATGCAGGTCCTCAGACCACAACCAAATATAATTCCTTGGAGTGGGATATATATTATTATTAAGGCTCACTGCACAGTCAGCCAGATGGTTAGACAGGATTTCATATTTTTACCCAAATATATTTATTTGATCTAATCTTCCTTGCCCTTTTCTCACCATTTCTGATATTATTATGAGTTCTTTAATTTCAGCTTCTTTTTTATTCATTTCCTTTATCCAAACTTTATTTTTGCTGTATCTCTTTGGGTTGTCCCATAGCTGCACCCAGAACTGTACTGTTTCTTCTTTGGCAGGTTTTGACTGCTTCATTACAGTCTCTCCATTGATGGACTGATAGAAACAGTTCTGATTTGGCTGAAATTAGAGATTCTGCTAACAGTGTGCAGTTTGAGCTTTGTATCTGCTAATCCTGAGTGTAGATACTAATTGCTGCTTTATTAGTTCCACTGCTTCCTTCATCTCTCTTGTTTCTAAGTAATATTTCTTGATCAGATATTCTTGGGTCTTCTTATTCTTAGCTTCTTTTCTTTCATCTTTTCTAGCTTGCTTGTATTTGATCTTGGCATACTGATCTTGTTTTCCAATCTGATCCTCCATTTTAGTGATGCACAGTGGCTCTTTTCTTCTTTGTTGATTTTGCATCCAAGGTATTCAATTATAACAGCAGTCACGTTTATTTATTTATTTATTTATTTATTTATGAGACATATACCGCTTTAAGTGCAAGCACTCTCTAAGCGGTGTACACCAGTAAGCAATGTATATATATATTTACATTGCCCCCAACAATCTGGGTCCTCATTTTACCTCCCCGGAAGGATGGAAGGCTGAGTCAACCTTGAGCCGGTGAGATTTGAACTGCTGACCTGCTGAACACAGTCAGCTAAAGTGGCCTGCAGTACTGCAGTCTAACTGCTACGCCACCTCGGCTCATAATGTTGTACATGAGTTGGTTTGGTTCTTGCAGTGAGCTGGTGCTTATATTTAATACTACGCTATTAGCATCTTTTAATACAGTACAGCTGTTTCTTAGTCCATTGATGAACAGAGATGGTAAATGTGGGTAGCCCAGAGGAAACCTTAATTAGAATCATTCAAGTTAATGTGGCAAGACTTAGACTGTGACTGACTGAGAAGTTAAAGCAGTAAATATCGAAAGAAAGGGCTGGCTGACAAACTCACAGTTCATGTAGATTGCCTAAAAAAAGGATTCTTAGAGACTGGGACAACAACATCACCACTGGATTTGTGTATCTCTGTGTGTGAGACAGAGAAGGAGAATGAATAAGGAAAGTGAGATTATGTGAAAATATGCCAACAGCCCCAAATTGTGCTCTACAGAGTATTATTGCATAGTATTATTGTTTATTACTAAGAATGAACTCTCGTTATGAATTGTTATTGTGTGTATCCATGTTTCCTCAAGGAGAAAGGAAGTGCTTTTGTAAGTATTTGAAAGAGATTCTTTAGAAAATCCATCATCGCCACAGAATGTTTCAAAATTAAAACTTCATAGACATTCAGAGTCCTGGGATTTCCTGCCTGTGCTTTATTCCAGTCATTGAGCGATGGAGCGAGTGCTGATACTTTTCTGCTTTCCTGTCATGGAAATGGAAAATACTGGCAAAGCAAGAATGCACCTGCAGGCCTATCATATATCAGGCATTTATAATAAATAAAATGTTCCCATGTGGTAACCTCATTTTCCCCAGAGGTGGTTTGACTAAGCAATATTTCCTTGTTCTGATTTTTATTGAAAACTCATTAATATTTTTAAAAGTGTAGTCCAGGTTAACCTTCTAGTACTTTCTGTTAATATTTTAAACTGAAATTCTGGCATGAGCCCCCAAACGACAATTCTTTCTTTCAGTGTCTCATTCCTTTTTGCTATGCCTCCATTTGCTATGCCATGTTTTGCCCAGGGGTCAGTTTATTTTAGTTTACCAGATATTAAAACCAAAATCACATCTTCATATCCTAATTACAGATATTCAGACTTACTAGTATTGTCACTACTGA